GGAAAGAGATTGAAAAGTGTAAAGGGTGTGAAATATATGGAGACAGAAAAATATTTGACTTTAGGTTTTGAACACACAATGCAATGCACATATGACCTATTATTGCATTGTACACTTGAAATCTATATGATTTTATTAACAAATGTCACTCTAATCAATTTGATATTAAAAAAGTTTTTAAAATGTTGGGATGTCACTCCATCATTAATGTGTAAATAGACTCAGACTTTTGACTATTAGCCATCTTCTACTCTCTCTCCAACTCTGTCTGTTGGAAGAGAGCTGTCATGTTGTCAGCTGCCCAAGGGGAAACTCAGGTGGGAGGTAGCTGAGGGATACCTTTGGCCAGCTGCACATGAGGAACTGAATCCTGCCAAAGCCATGTAAGTCAGCTTGAAATTGGATCCTCTTCTAGTCGAGATGTGAGATGACTACAGTCCTACATTTAGAATGCAGACACCTGCGAAACCCCCCGTAGGATTTAAGAAAATTGTCAATTTGATATGTCAAAATAGATTGTTGTCCAATGTAACAGCATATATAAAACAACATACAGAAAAAATTAGAATTTTGTTATTCAAAATAGCAAAAAACATATATCTCTAACACATAAAATGCAAAACCCCAAAGTAGGACTATAGGGAGAAGAAAGGAAGTTCTTCTAAAACACAAAAATCTTAAATAAAAACATAGAAATTATAGCATATTCTTGGTGTAGAAAACACAATTATCCCTACATAAAATAACTAAGTCGATGAATTTACAGTCATGCAAGTTACCCGCTGCTTTTTTTTTTTTATTGAAAAAAGTTGTCTGAGTTTATAAAATCCCTGCAACATGGAAGTGTACGTGAAGTGTACAGGGAAGCTTCCTCCTTGAGAAGAGGAAGGGCCAGAATCTTGAAAGTACATTCTCTTTCCCCTTTTCCAGTTCTATTAATGACAGCAAATACTCAGAGCTTGGGATAACACGGACCGATCTGGCTAATTGTGAGCTCTGTGCGTTGAGCTCTTAAGGCCATGCAAGAATAGATAATTGGTTTGTTTCTCCATTCCTTCAGATTCCTCATTTTAGTCCAGTGGGCCTTACATCTGAGGCCCCTCCTCTAGGAATCACTGCATCGGGAGGCCCTCGACTAACTCCACCTCACTACCAGAACTGGGGAAGGAGCCTGAACCTTCATTGCTTGCCAGGCAGGACAGGGACAGTGGATTCTCACTCCTTGGCCAAACTCCAGAAGAGATAAAACAGACCACTGAGTACCATGGAGATGGAGGATGGAGAAGAGACTGTCAGGAGCATTGTTTTTTCACCATCATGACAAACAGGAGAGTTGGGACAAACAGATGGGAGGGCACCAATATGGAAAGTTTCTGTAATTTTTTCCTTACAAAGGTAGATTCTGAATGCCAGAAGTGAGACAACTGAGCCTAATTCATTTCTGATCCCTCAGAGCATATACTTTGTTTGGCAGAGAACAACACCAATCTCTATTAAATCCTGAATAAACTCTTGGCCTCAGAAGCAGAGATCAGGTAACATGGCTTCCACACAGTGCTTTCCTTCCTGGACTGTCTTTCCTTCCAGCAATGGCTCATAGGGCTGGACAGAAGATAGAACAGTGCTTATATGTATCCATGTCACAGGTTTTCTAGGAAACCTATTATTTTGACATTTAATAGAATCTACAACATTTAAATATAAAGAAAAGGGGGCAAACATTTGGTGACAAAAGCTAATCTAACTCTGGGGGAACACACAATGCAATATACATACGAGTTTCTGTTGAATGATACACTTGAAACTTACTTGAAACTTACTCACCCCATCAATTTTTAATAAAAAAATTAAAAAATTACTGAATTCAATCCAAAGATAAAAAAATTGTGGCGATTTTCAATAAAATGAAAAAAATCAAAAAGACAGGAAAAGAGAAAGTGTGATAAATCTTACTGTTTGGACTTAGACACATTTTATGATTTCCACTCATCTGTGGATGAATTACTATGAAAGAACAGGACATGATAAGCTTGTTAATTAAATACAGTTCAAAAAAAAGATTTAATGACATTTTATTCTACTGTATGTTGGGATGTCACTCCATCATTAATGTGTAAATAGACTAAAATGTCATTAAATCTTTTTTTTGAACTGTATTTAATTAACAAGCCCTCTCTTCCAATATGATTTAAAAACCATGACTGAACATTTATTAAGGACACATCTCTGTTAGGTGCCACAGGTGCCCCAGAGATGGGTGTCATTTCACTATTTCTATGTAAGAGATATCAGCACAGAAAGGTGGAGAGATTTACACCCTCTCTACATTAAGTGGGTGAGAGCTGTGGACTCAAACGGACATCTCTTGATTTCCATCCCGGGGTCTGCCCTCTCCACTATGGAACAATCATTATTTCTTTCC